GGAATTTCAGAACACCTATCTCCATACCTTTTCAACCTATATGCAGAACAGATTATCCGGGAGGCTGGGCTCTATGAGGAGAAATGTGGGGTCAACATTGGTGGATAATTTATCAACAATATGCATTATGCAGATGACAAAACCCTGCTTGCTGAAACTGAGGAGGACCTGAAGCGCCTTCTGCAGAGCGTCAAGGACTGCAGCCTCCAATATGGATTGAGGCTCAATGTCAAGAAGACAAAGATTCTCACCACTGGACCAATTGGCAGCATCAGGATGGATGGCGAAGAGATTGAGATTGTACACAGCTTTAGTTGGCTTGGCTCCATAGTCAACAGTCTTGGCACCAGCAGCCAGGAAATTAAAAGGCACATTGCCATGGGAAAGTCTGCTGTTAGGGACCTCTCCAAAGTACTGAAGAGCAATGTTGTCTCTCTGGAGACTAAGGTGCGTTTGATACAGGCCATGGTCTTCGCAATCACTTGTTATGCATCAGAGAGTTGGACAATGACCAGGGAGGATAGAAGGAGAATGGATGCCTTTGAGCTGTGGTGCTGGAGAAGAGTATTGAGAATACCATGGACTGCTAGGAAAACAAACAGATTTGTCCTGGAAAGGGTTAATCTGGGTGGCTCCTTGGTGGCAAGGATTCTGAGGCTCCATCTAACATACTTTGGACATGTTGTGAGGAGAGACTGGTCCTTGGAGAGGGACATCTTGCTTGGGCGGGTGGAGGGACAGCACAGGAGAGGAAGGCCCTCTATGAGGTGGATTGATTCAGTGACTGGGATAATTGGGATGGGAGTGTCGGAGATAGTGCGATTGGCACAGGACAGAGCGGAGTTTACGGCTGTTGTACATAGGGTCGCTTTGAGTCGCAGGCGACTCAACGGCACTTAACAACAACAACAACAACATTTATTCTCATGTAGAACCTGTACATAGATCAAGAAGCAGCTACTTGGACAAAATAAGGGAGGACCACATGGTTTAAAATTGGGAAAATTGTATGTCAGGGTTGTTTCTTGTTATCATACCTGTAAATATGTATACTGAACAAATAATCCAAGTAGTTGGCCACGTGAAGAATAATAAGGCATCAGGATTGACGTCAGACTTATCAACAGCTTGCGGAATGCAGATGACACAACCTTGCTTGCAGCAAACAGGATTTGAGCCATTTACGTGTGTGTGTGTATTTTTAATTTCTGGTTTTTATTGTTATTTGAGATAAATTTGGAAAGCACATTATCTATACATTCATATGCATTTTGTTCACTAATATCTCTCTCAAGACCTACAATGTAATGGCTCTTTTTTTGGTTCCTCTCTGTAATTCTGATTTTTATTCTTCCTCCTATAGCTCTCTGTCTTCCTTTTCTACACTGCTATTGTGCTGATTGTCTTCTTAATGTGTGTTGTCTTTCCCTTCACCTGCCTTGTGTCTGATTTTGCCCCCCTATTATACCTGGAAACCACAGAAGAATGACCATGGGTGTGGAAACTTCAATGCTTCTTGTAATAATAGTCACATATGAAATTTGTCCTTTTGTGACTGTGTGGTTTCCCTCAATGTCCTGTAGACATGTAAATTTTTTTAAATTCTTTGTTGTTTTTGAGAGTTATGTAACACTCCATTACCTATCTGTCCATTTTGGACACTTGGGTTATTTCCATCTCTTTGGTGGTGTGAACCCTGCCCAGGGGTAACCTCTTTGGGTGAGCAGTATGTATTGATGAAACTCTCTGTAGCCTTTGGTATTAAACTTAAATATAAAGATCCTCACAACTGGAACAATAAGTAACATCATGTTAAATGGAAAAGATTGAAGGTGTCAAGGATTTAGTTTTACTTTGAATCAACACTCATGGAAGCAGCTGTCAAGGAAAGGGAAGGGTCCAGGTAAAAAGACAGGATAATGATGGTCAAGGCCCAATGGTGATTGATTTAAGGAAACAAGATGCATGAGAATGGTTGTATGAAACACAGTGTGAAAGAAGAATAGTGTGAAATGCAATGTAAACAATTTGGTAAGCAAATCAACAACAACAACAAAAATAAAACAATGTCTTGCATTAGGCAAATCTCCTCAAGGACTTCTTTTAAGTGTTTAAGAATAAGCACGTCATTTAAACATTAAGGTGCACTGGACCCAGGCTGTAGTATTTTCAGTTGTTTCAAAAGCATGTGAAAATTGGACAACAGATGAAGAAGGCTGAAAAGTTGATAACCTTAGAACTGTGGTGTTTGTAAAGAATATTGAGTATGACACTATGGATGCCAAAAGAATGAGCAAGTCTCTTTTGGAGGAAGTAGAGCACTCTTGAGTGCTTCTTAGTAGCAAAGCATGTCTCCTAATTTAGACTTATGAGGAGGGGACAATTCCTGGAGAAGGAAGGTAATTCTTGGAAAAGTAGAGGATGAGTGAATAAAGGAAGACTCTCCAGGGGAGATGGACCCAGTGACTAGAACGATTGGAGTAAGTACAGCAGAGGGGGTGAGGAAGGGGTAGGATTTCATTCTGGTGTCCACAGGGTTACTCCAACTTAGAGCCACTGGACAGCACTTGGCAATCTCACTTATCTTGGTGAACTACTTGGAAACTGATTTTCATAGTTGCACCTCAGTATCTCTAGTGATATCATCAAGTTGCAGGTGAGGTGTTTGAGAATGAGATTATGAAATAGAATCTATAGGAAGGTGAATTTGAGGATTTTTTGGATTTAAAGTAGGATTACTAAGAACTCTGTTGCAGAAGAAGTAGAAATATTTCCTTGTCACATGTATCACTAGTGAAAATTATAAAGTAACTTAGCAGGGATCTTTGTAGATTCTAAGCCTCAAGCAAATTTTGATTCTTATTCCTAGAAACTATTAGGGCTGATGAGAGCCTCCCAATAACTGTCATTTATTAAGTGCTTCCTAGATGCTTACTAAGCATAAATATGTCTTAGAGAAGGTGTAGCCAGAGTACTCCTTGGACGCAAAGATGATAAAGCTTTGGCTTACACACTTTGGGCATGTTGCTAGGAGAGGCTATTCCTTGGAGAAGGACATCATGCTTGGAGAAGATGGAGGGTCGGTGAAAGAGAGGAAGACCTTCAATCAGGTAGATTGACAGTGACTAACAATGGGCTCGAGTGGTCAGAAATTGTGAGGATGGCACAGGATAGGGCAGGGCCTATTGTTCATGGTGTTGCTATGGGTTATACTTGACTCACTTAGCACCTAACAACGACAGGTAGTAAGCAAGCTGCCAATCCAGAGGCATGCAGTTTGAATCTACCAGCTGCTCTGAGGGATAAAGATGGCCAATCTCCTTCCACGTAATTTACAGCCTCTGAAAACCTGCTGTAGGGTCAGTTGGTTCTGACATGACAGCACACAAAAACAACTACACTAAGCAAGGAGCCCTCATAGTGTAGTGGTTACATGCTTGGCTGCTAACATCAAGGTTGGTGGTTTGAGTCAGCCAGCCACTCTGCAGATATAGCACTCAGCTTCTGTAAAGGTTTACCACCTTCGAAAGCCTATGTCAGAATCAGCTCAAGGGTTCCTGGTGGGAAGTACTAACAATATATAAACAATCTCCATATGCCCACACAGCAGTTCTAGGAGGTGAAGTTTATTAGAAGAGGAAGAAACAGGATTAGAGATATTAATTTGCCCAGGTCCTCATATCAAGTAAATGAAAACTTGAGACTGTCCTGATTCTTAACCATTCTGTGTTTGAGTGCTGAGAGTGCCCTGGGGAGTGGCGGGGGGGGGGGGGGGGGGGGGGGGGGCGTGATCAGAGCTCCATCTTAATGACCCTCATGAACAGGGCACTGACTGGGTTCTAGGAGACATGTGTTCAAGGTGAAGTTGTGTACCCCTGATGCCCTCTGACCAACCTCAGAGACTGAAGATAAAGACGCTATTTTATCTCCAGAAGCTTGGTGGTGGCAGGTATTATTGTTACCAGGAACCTCTCTTCTCCAACATGTTTCAGTTTTGGCTTTTTTCCCCCCCTCACTGAAAAAGAATTTTTATTGTGACCCTCACCAGCTGCACAATCTATTCCTGCCATTAGGCACCTCCTTCCTTTGTAGTCTGGTCTTCATTAAGTGGTCCCATGAAGGCCATTTACTCTTCCATGGTTTGAAAAAGGCCGTGACCAAACTTGAAGGTGGTGTCGGTGAACTTGAGATCAGTTTCTCCAGAGCGCTGGGTTTGGTTTGGGTCAGCAAGGCCTTGTGGGGAGTCTGCTCTTGCTCTTGGTCCCCACCAAGCCGCCCTTCAGCATGAGAAAGTGGTCTGTCACTTCACCATGGTGGACAAAGCCCCTGGGAGGACCGAAGCTCTTGTCAGAGGGATTGTGGGCAGGGGAGGTGTTGTTTATGGTCAGCTTGCGCCCTTGACAAAGTCGCCTTGGCCAGTCTTGTAGCCCTTCTTGTTGATCTCTGGATGGCGCTAGTAGTCCCACTTCTCAGCACGTGTCACAGAGCAGGCCAGTCAGGCGAGATGCCCATTACAAGGGACCTTGCACAGCCCTCGGTGGGCCCTGCAAGGTGGCTTCTTGGTACTTTTGTCTCTCTTACACTTGGTGACTCCAGTGACACTGATCATCTCCTCCTGGCTGAACACCTGGCTCACCTGCTCCCGCTGCTCCAGCTTCTCGCAGGCCCAGTCCGGCTTCTGGGTCATCTGCCCCGGTTCACCTGGATCTCCAGCATCAGGATGTCCTGCTGGCTCAGGGGAAGCAGGTGCCTCTGGGGGTGAGCCATGACCAGGATGACCTGGCAGAACTTCATGCCGTTGAAGCCCTTTCCCCACAGCTTCTTGCCATCCTCATCCTGCCATTTCTTGCGGTGTTTGGTGAAAACCTTCTTCTTCGACTTATGCCAGTTCTTAGAGAAGTGTCATTTGCACTCATCACGGACGTGCTCACAAAAGACATACCTGGGGGTTTAGGAGGCCATGAGGGGTTCCCATGGAGCCCGGTCTGCCCACAATCACCATGGCGGTATCCACCTTGGACCCCAGTTTATCCACCCACAGTACGTTGGGGCTGTGAGGGGAACAGGCTTTCACTTTCCTGCGGCGCTGGTCGCTCTCTGTCTTTCTGAGGCAAGAAGCCCAGGAACTCAAGCCTGGGGCGGAGAACTTCCTGTGAGACATGGTGACCTCAATTCCTGTCGTAGAGCACATTTAAGTTTTAAAAGAAAACAGCATCCACTTTTATTTACTTATTTGCTTTTCTTGTAAAAGATTTATTCATTGTTGTGTATTTTCTCCCCTCCTTCCTTTCCCCTTCCTCAGCCCATCCTATAGTGCACGCCTCGTTCCACATTGTTCTCATACATATAATGCATAAGCATATAGTCCTTTCAAACACTTCTTCCTCTGTATTCCTAGTGAAATGCTGTTTGGAGGAAATAGTCAGTGATGTGTCCCCAAAGTGGTCCAACTGTGTTGGCATTTATAGTGCTCTTGAAAGCAAGAACATAAAAATGTTACATCTTAAAAAAAAAGAAAACAGCATTCATAATTTTTTTCCTATTACGTGAACAGAATATTTTCTTTTAGAAAAACAATAAGAAATTATCTAACATGGGAAATAGAAAGCACCTGTAACCTAACCACTCAAAAAAGTAACAAAAAATAAATCCAGAACCATGCTTAAATAAAATTAAGGCAAAACAATCAGTTTAATTGTATTATTCCAGATATTTTATAGTTTATAGAGCATCAGAGAGTTGGACAATGACTAGGGAGGACAGAAGGAGAGTGGATGCTTTTGAGCTGTGGTGCTGGAGAAGGGTACTGAATGTACCATGGCTGCCAGGAAAACAAACAGATTCATCTTGGAGAGGATTAAACCAAGCTACTCCTTGGAGGCAAGGATTCTGGGGCTTCGTCTGACATACTTTGGACATGTTGCCAGGAGGGACGGGTCCTTGGAGAGGGACATCATGCTTGGGAGGGTGGAGGGACGGCGCAGGAGGGGAAGACCCTCTATGAGATGGATTGATTCAGTGACTGGGGTAATCGGGATGGGTGTGTCGGGGGCAGTGCAGTTGGCGCAGGATAGAGCAGGGTTTAGGGCTGTTGTGCATAGGGTCGCTATGAGTCGGAAACGACTCGACGGCACATAACAACAACAACAACAACAATAGAGCCTATGCTGTTAGGGACTCTTCCAGGGTACTGAAGAGCAATAGTGTCACTCTGGAGACTAAGGTGCATCTGCCACAGGCTATGGTCTTTGTAATCACTTCTTATGCATCAGATAGTTGGACAATGACAAGGGAGGATAGAAGGAGAATTGATTCCTTTGAGCTATGGTGCTGGAGAAGAGTACTGAATGACTATGGACTGCCAAGAAAACAGATTCATCCTGGAGAGGGTTAAAGCTGGCTACCCCTTGGAGGCAAGGATTCTGAGGCTTCGTCTGATATACTTTGGACATGTTGTAAGGAGGGACCAGTCCTTGGAGAGGAACATCATGCTTGGGAGGGTGGAGGGATGGTGCAAGAGGGGAAGACCCTCTATGAGGTGGATTGATTCAATGACTGGAGTAATTGGGGTGGATGTGTCAGAGACAGTGCGATTGGCACAGGATAGAGGAGGGTTTAGGGCTGTTGTACCTAGGGTCGCTATGAGTCGCAAGTGACTTGACAGCACATAACAACAACATATAGTTGAGTGATGTTGTTATTAATATTTTGTGATTATAAATAATACTGTGGTGAACAACCTTGTTACCAAATGATTATGTTCCTGTTTATTAGGAAATTTTTCTGAAGTAATTGCTGAGGTCCAGCTGTTAAAATTTTAGATCTGCATCAATCACTAAGTTACTGATAATTCCCTGCAAGTACCTAAGTGTTTCCTCTGTCCCCCACCTTACCAACACAAAATATCATCCTAACTCTTACCTTCTTTAAAATTCCAAATTTTTTTAAAAAATGCTAAATTTAGTCTGATTAAGATTTGTTTCTTTTTAAAACATGAACGTCTTACACAGTTCCTTCAGTGGAACTTGTTAGATGCCTTCCAATTGACTACGAGCCATAGTAACCCAATGAACAAGAGAGCTGAACCTTGTCTGTCCTATGCAGTCTTCACAAACTCTGTCCTGCTCAAGCACATTGCCATGGTGAGTGTTTCTCATCGAGCACCTTCTTCTCTTTCGCTGCCCATCTACCTTTCTAAGCCTGATGTCTTTTCCCAAGGACTGGCCCCTCCTGGCCCTCCTGACAACATGCCCAAAGTATGTGAGATGACGTAGGACTTGCCGATGAGCATTAGGAAGTTCACAATTTTAAATAATTATGCCTTCTGTTTACATAACTGCAACAAGAGGAGGAAAAGCATGTTTATATCATGGCCCCATCTTTTGCAGAGAACTGTAAGTGAAGAGCTATAGTTTAAATCACCTGGCTGGTCTTTCTGCCATTTATCTTATATAAAGATAAGTGGATATAAGATGATCTTCAAAAGATTCAGATTTTTAAAAAAACAACAAACCAACACCACTCAGGTTTTGCTTTGATTTAGAATCATCTTCTGAGAACAGGCAGAGTGACACAAGTGTCCTTAATTCAACCCAACACATACATTGCTTAGAAGAAGAGGCTCATTGCAAATTTAGTCTTCTGCCATGGCCACATTCTGTCACCACATCCTGATCATCTTTGTCCCAGCAATCTCTAGCATGCATCTGGGGAAAAGTTTTTTACTTCCCTGGACTTAGAGATGAAAAGGCCTGGGTTTGAATGCATTTCAGCTCTGCTAATTGATAGTTAAGTGGTCTTCAAGTTCCATTAGCCGCATAAATCTGGCTGTCTTGGTAATTATAAAATGGAGATTTTTTTTTTCTTCTTCATGAGTTTAGTGTGAAAATCAAATAACATGTTAAAATGATCTGTGATTCGTATGATTCTATATGGTAAGAAACTAGTTATTCAGTAGTTTCCTTCTGGGTTAGCAGCACTTTCTTAAAGGACAGGTTCTTTAGTAAAGATTCCACCACTGGGCCAAGACGCAGCATCAGGACAGATGGTAAAGAGATTGAAATCTCAGCTTCAGTTTGCTTGGCTCCATAATTAACACTCTTGGTACAAGAAGCCAGGAAATCAAAGACTAATTAATTGCACTCAGAAAACTCTGGTCTCAGGGACTTCTTCAGAGTACTGAAGAGCAATGATGTCAGTCTGGAGATTAAGGTGCATCTAAGGCCATAGTCTTCACAATTACTTGCTCTGTGTCAGAGTGCTGGACACTGACTAAGGATGCTAGAAGGAGAGTTGTTGCCCTTGAACTGTGGTGCTGGAGAAGAGTATTGACTCTACCATGGGCTGCTAGGAGAACAAACAGGCTCATCCTGGACAGAGTGAAACCAAGCTGCTCCTTGGAGGCAAAGATTCTGAAGCTCCATCTGACATATTTTGGGCATGTTGTAAGGAGGGACCAGTCCTTGGAGAGGGACGTCATACTTGGGAGGGTGGAGGGACAGCACAAGAGAGGAAGATCCTCGATGAGATGGATTGATTCAGTGACTGGGGTAAGGGGGGGGTAGGCATGTCAGAGACAATGAAGTTGGTTTAGGATAGAACAGGGTTCAGAGCTGTTGTCCACTGAGTCACTATGAGTTGCAAGCAACTAGACAGCACACAACAGTACTCAAGGTATCTACTCTTTAATGTTGTTGTTGTTGGGTGCAATTGAGCCAAGTACAATTCATAGCGACTCTATGAACAATCAATCTGAACCCTGTCCTATCCTGTGCCATCCTCACAATCTCTGTCACACTCAAGCTCATTGCCGCAGTCAGCATGTCAGCCCACACTGATAGGCAGCATCGTGATGGGTAGAGGATTGAGACTGTCAATAACTTCATCTTACTTGGATCCACAATTGTTATTCTTGGTACCAGCAGTCGGGAGACCAGGAGACGTATGGCCACTCTTTTAATAGTTAAGGTAAATTATTGTTAGGTTTTAAGCAAACTTCAGGGGATATTTTCTGATTTACTTCTTGGGGTTTTCAATGGCTGGCTTTTCAGAAGCAGATCACCAGGTGTTTCATCTTGGTCAACTTAGACCTCTAAAGGCTGAGCAGGCTAATCCTTGCACTAGCCGGCGAACACTAGGAGACTCTGGTGACCTCTAGCGGTCAGAGCTGCACTGCCAACCCCAAGGGAGGGTGTGCAAACTCACTAGTTGCTCCGTGGGAGAAAGATGGGCAACATCGTCTCCTGTGACTTGCTGCCTCTGACAACCCTCTCTCTCTCTCTCTCTCTGTGTGTGTGTGTGTGTGTGTGTGTGTGTGTGTGTGTGTGTGTGTATGAGTGTATGAGAGAGAGAGAGAGAGAGGAGTTGGTTTTCACTCAAGAAAACAACAATAACAAGAAATATCTGGTGAATCCTTGGTTGACATAAAATCTGCACAATCATCTTAAATATGAAATCTGTATGATGTTGGAATGGCCTAGAACTTTCTCAGAGTCTTCCCCTCCCCTTTTTCTTTTTTCCCCCTTAATGTAATTTTCCACTCACCTTCCATTTTATTTTTCAGATCTGGTTCTAAATTGAGACCACTTGATCTCTGTTCCTCTTTTCTATCCCAGGTACCTCTTCCTCTCCTGTTTTCTTCTATGTTCTCCTCTCCATTATCCTTCAAGTCCTCACCTCTATGAATATGAAGGATAGTTCCTCCAAGCAACTCATTTCATCCTAGCCTCCTCTGGTGTTTCAGTCAAAAGTAGGAGAAGCTGAGGGCATCATTCTGAGTCAGATCCACATAGGAGTGAAAGTGACACACTTCTCAGAAGTGCGGTGGTTTCAGTGTCTCTCTGACCCGCTGCCCTTTTAATTTTCTTCTTGGTCTGGATTTTCACAGAAACGCATGCTTGTGCCACTTAAAATTTTGAGGTATCTGATTGTTATTTATTCCTAAACTCATTATTGTTGAGTCAGACTCTACTCATAATTGACCCTCCAGTGGGTTTTTGAAGGTTAT